TATATATATATATTATTTTTATGTTAATGAGAATATCTTTATCTTTAATTTTCTCTATAGAGATGAACAAATGGGGGGAGTAAATATGTTTTAAAAATAGTATATGATTTGAACTTTTAAATGTGGTTATCATATAGTTAAAGTGCCACAATAAACTAAATCATATATTAATTTGGTATTTTTCGACTTCCTAATTTTTGATATAATGTAATATTGATCTCATGATTGATATTGTATTGTAACACCATTCTTCAAAGAATAATAGAAAATGTGTTCATAAAAAAATCAAATTTGAATGGTAAAATTAAGGAAAAAAAGAACAACTTAATATAATATAAAATTAAATTGGTTAAACATATTTATGAAATCACGACAAAAAACAACGTCATATATATGCCAATTTAAATTAGCTATCATTATTTGCAAAACAAGGCAAGTCATTTTCTTTATTTGCAAAATTATAAAACTATCATTATTTATTTTTGATGTAAAAGAATTTAAATTATATTTGATGAAATCATTTTGCATGGGAAGACTTAGAATGACAAATAAGAACCATAAAATTGCACATACATCCCAATTAATTTATATGTATTTACATATCTAACACCTTAACATTGCATTTTTTATATATACAGCTCAAATATTTGATACCACATACAAAAATATCTCTATTTTGAGTTTTATAAGGTGAAATCCAGATTTACATGCATAAGTAATATGTCATATATGAAAAAATTGAAGTTTAGGCATTAGATATATAAATTACATAAGAGTTGAGTGGTATGTACCAAGAGTTTTATTTTAGAGCAAAACAGTTTCTATTGGATACACCATCAATGAAATTTTCATCATACGGCATGAAGCTCGAGGCGTGATACGAAGCTCGAGAAAATTTTTGAGTAGTGAACATTCAAACTTGAATTAAAAATTATATAAAACTCCGATTTCAATAAACTTATAGTAGATCTCACTGAGTTGATGAAAAGAACATGATGATACCAAAAATAGGTCCAATACAAGTCAAATCATGTCCATTTTCTAAATCGGTCCAATACAAGTCAAATCATGCCCATTTCAAACCAATAAACTATTTTTGGAATCTTTTTATGCCCAAGTAGAAAGTTAAATAAATTATAAATCTTACAAGCTTATAGTTAAATTGAGCGTCTTGACGAGGTGAATGCAATAGCCCAAGATCAATCAATTCTGACATCATTAAGACACTCAAATGTCAATAGAACACTTTCGATCGAGGGAATCGTCGATCTCCCTGAGTCGTCCGATGGAGTAGTTCACATTATTCCCTATTTACCGAAAGCTCTCTATTGGGGTATATAAATAAAGCCCTACCCCCTTCTTGGGAGTGGACTTAGACGTTGAACCGGTGGAAGGCCAGAGCCTGGAGGAGAAGGAGTTGAACCCTCGTGTTCTACACTGAAGGTCCTATGAAAGCCCCTCAGTTCTAGCAGCTGACTACCATTAATCATTGCACGTCTACCGCTGTGGACCACCATCAGTCGCCACCCGTTCCATGCAACAAAATTCCTTGCAGAGTGAAAACACTTGTTAATGAGTCCCAACACACGTGAAATAGTGAAGCACCCGGTGGAGCATCGCCCAGTACACCATGCAACGATGCACCTTAAAGAAAGTGTATTGGAATTTTAGCGACTATTCCCAATTGCAATCACTCCCGATCATTGCACAATTGTACTTTGAAGAACTGTGTAGTTCTTTCTTAATTGTGTGACAAGAACCTGCATGTGTCATCACCAATTTATAATGGATTATTTTGGCTGTGTCAAACTCTGTGATTGTTTCCACGTTAAAACTTATGTTGTTTCTACCAATCACTTTTATTATCTGTGTTGGAATCTTATGCAATACTAATATGATAATTCATTACTCAAAAGCCGCAAATTTCCTAACACACATCACAATTATATATAGAATGATTCTGACTGTATTTGAGAATAAATTTCTTATATTATTCAACATTTCTTAGGATTATTTTTAAGTCTAAGGGGAACAAGTGCAACCTCCAAGTGCTTCTCTATACTTCCTCTATTACTCAATTTCACGTAATACTTAATAAATATGCTAATCACTTGTTAGATCTTGTAGAGTTGCCACCATATAACGTCCCAAATTTTAAAGAACATATATATATATATAT